TCCTACGAGAAGCTAACTCCACCAGCGAATACAAAGGTCGACAACAAAACCCAAAGGCAAAGCCAGAGAGATCGAGGCTCCAACGCAGAGAGTAAGAGAGTCAACAAACAATCTCTATCAATACGAAGGAGATCTCAATAACTTACAGCCGAGGGGATACAAGGGGAGACATCGTGAAGAACAGAGGACCACACGTCGCTTGCCAAAACCTTCCTCGACCGGCAGAGGCAAAGAGAGGCGAAGCCCATCCACCATAAAACCCGATGCGCGACGGACTCCAATTCGGAAAATTGGAGCTAGTGAGACCATTGCGATGATGGAAGAAGTGCCACGGCTGACAGGCGACGGTCCAAACCCGCAAGCAACCTTTGCCATCATCGGTAACACAAGAACCGGAGGAGGATCTACAGTAGATCTGGAGCCGTCGGAGGCGTGAGGCGGGTGAGGGGTTCTAGCTAATCTCCATAACTCGCGCCCGCTACAACACCGACTAGAAGGGCGAGGACAGAGAAAACCCATCACCCCGACGCGGCTGTCACACCGCTCTCCTCTCCGGTTACTCGCCGCATGATGAAGAGCTAATCTGGAAGAGGCGGAGGTACAGGATCCGAAGGACCAAACGATGCAGAAGGAGAAGCGGGTTTGCCCTTTCACGGCGCCAGTCTTAACCGGCCGCCGGAGAGGCGAGGAGATCGGACGGCGGTGTAAACGAGGGAGCGAGTTTTCGTTGATAGAATCGCCACGCGTGTATAACACGCGCCCGATTCTCAAGTGTTCGTTCCTCTACAACTTCCAAACTTTCTTGTTGAAGCCTTTAGCTGATGTTGCCTATGTCGGAGTGTACCAAGTAAATTTATTGTGTTTCTTTCTTAATTAATTTGGTATTTTATAATTGGTTTGGGTTTGGTTTATTGAAGCTATTGGGCTTTGTAGTGGCCTTTTTCCGGTTTAGCAAAGCAAATAGTATAGTTTTGCCATACGTACCGAAAAACTAAACAATGTAATTTTTTGTTTTTGATCATTTTAAGTTTTTCTTTGTACCGAATGCAATTCAATCATATCTGTTTATCGAAAAGAAATTAAATTGTTGTGGTATCGATAAAAACTAAAGGTGTGGCAATGCCCCACGAGTCAGTCTACTGGTTCTAGCTTATTTATTACACATAGACGAAAGTGAAATGGTAAAGCCTAATCCGTAACGATAAACGTTAAAAAGAACGTTTATTAGTCGTCGCATGCATGCAAGTTGCTAAAAAGATTTAGATGTTTCCAAAGAATCAAGAATTGGTCCATCTCATTCATTTAAACCATTTGTCCCCAGCGAATTTTCCAGAAACCTAAATTCATCCGCTATTCATAAATTTAGGGAGATTAGCTAGAATAACCTACTTTTTAAAAAAAATAGCTATAATAACTTTACTATTTTTTTTATTGCTGAAATAAACTATTGTAGATTTTTTTTTTTATAATACCAAAATTGTCTTTCGCAGATTCTGCCGAGGTATTAGTAGACTCTGCCGAAATATTGGCAGACTCTGCCGAAACATTGGCAGACTCTACCGATGTATTGACAGACTCTGCCAATATCTAAAAATACGCAGACACTGCCAAAACATTGGCAGACTCTGCCGAAACATTGGCAGACTCTACCGATGTATTGGCAGACTCTGCGATATCTAAAAATACGCAGACACTGCCAAAACATTGGCAGACTCTGCCGAAACATTGGCAGACTCCGCCGAGGTATTGGCAGACTTTGCCGAGGTATTGGCAGACTCTGCCGAATCATTGGCAGACTCTGCGGAAACATTGGTAGACTCTACCGATGTATTGGCAGACTCTGCGAAAACATTGGTAGACTCTACCGATATATTGGCAGACTCTGCCAATATCTAGAAATACGCAGACTCTGCCAAGGACAATTTTGGTATTATAAAAAAAAAATAAAAATCCAGAATAGGTTATTTCAGCAATAAAAAAAATGGTAAGGTTATTCTAACTATTTTTTAAAAAAAGTAGGTTATTCTAGGTAAATTTTTCATAAATTTATTGTTTCCATTCAAGAGTGAAATAATGCGCTTTTAGCCAATATGTATATACCACTTCGAACAAAAGATCATTTCCATTCAAAACGTAGCATTAACTTATAAAATAATCAAATCTTTTTCGTATAAAATGGGACTAACATTCAGCAGTGATCATTCGAATTCAGCGATCCACGACAACAATCATCAAAATGCTGAAGATCAGAAGATCAAGACGAAGATAGGTGATGACAAGAC